AAAGGGCTAAAATTAAACTAATAATTCTCACACTAGCCCTAGAGTAAATGAGACATGTTAAGTAAACCCATACTTTCAGTATGTCCCTCAAAGCTTCTAGTAGGCAAACTCTTGGTAAAGGGATCAACAATATTTTCTTCAGATACTATCTTGCACACTGTCACATCTCCTCGTTGAACGATTTCCCTAACTAGGTCCATGTTGATGGCTTCTTGGTTCTTTTGCATTTGCCACCGCTCCGCTGTTATTACAGTACAAAATAATAGGATGCAATGCTGAAGGAACCACCTCAAGGTCTAGTAAAAACTTCCTTAGGCATACGGCTTCCTTGGCCACTTCACAAGCTACGACATACTCTACTTCTATAGTGGGGTCAGCAATGCAAGATTGTTTGACACTCCTCCATATAACGGCACCGCCACCCAATGTGAACACTGATCCTGATGTAGACTTACGAGAGTCCTTATCAGCTTGAAAATCAGAATTGATATAACCCGTAGGGCTTTTCATCTCTAGAATGGCTCAAATCATATCCGAATTTTCTTCAATGCTTCTTTGTGTTATCATACTTACCGCTTGCTGTTCCAAAAACATACTTCTCCAGATTGAACTTTAGTTTATTTCGTCGGGCAATGTCAAACACTTTATGTAGGTCACTAACATGGTCGTTGGCCTTCATACTCTTGATGACCATGTNTGATGACCATGTCATCTACATACGCCTCAATGACATTCCCAAAAAGGTCATTGAAGAACTTATTTACCATTCTTTGATAAGTTACTCCGATGGTTTTCAAGTCGAACGGCATGGCTGTATAACAGTACGTCCCAGCATCAGTTATGAAGGAAGTTTTCTCCTGATCGATTCGCAATGAAGATCTAACGGTACCCCAAAGATGCATCCAGAAAACTTAATCGTTCATGACATGTGTGGCATCCACCAAGTGATCTATTCTAGGTAGAGGGTACGAGTCTTTTGGATACACCTTGGGGACAGACAGTTCTCATATTCTTCTTTTTCATTGGCCCTAGGTCTGTCCCTATGCTAAATTCACGCCTTCCAGCCACCAATTTTTTTCCGTAGTATCGACGGGCTCAATTTGCCCCTTTGGAGGCTCAAGATCCAG